GCCTCACACACCCTAGCCCCAGCCACTTCTGAGAAGCCCCGCCTAGCACTGCCTGAGGCTCTGGAGGGACATCAGACACTAGCCAAGACAGGAGGCATCTTACTTACCTGCTTTTGTCCTTCCTGCCTTTTCTCCCTCTCTTTCTTAACGGTAGGACATCTTACCCTCTCACTGTGCTGGAGACAACCCGGAGCCTTGCACAGCAGGCGAGAGCCCTAACGCTCCACTGTGCCCCGAGTCCAGTAGCAGCCTCTTAAGGTGAAACCTATTCAGCTGCAGTGATTCGAGGAGATGACGGGAACCTGGGCAGATGGCACACTGAGACGTGGCTGCCGGGTGGTTTTGGAGCCTCCCTGGGGTGTCCTGGGGTTTCCCCAAGTTGCAGGCTAAGCTCTACCTGGGTGAGAAGGCTGAGGCTTGACCCTGTCCTGCAGCCCATGCCCCTCCCTCCTGGGCTGGGTGCTTTCTGCACAGCTGGCAGCTGCTGTCCTGGCCCCGCTGCTCTAGGTGAGTCACCTTCTAGCAGGGCCTGCACAGCTGAGCGTCTGGGACGGGGCACCGAGCCCGGGCCCTCACCGCACAGGTCAGGAGCCAGCAGGCAGTGTGCAGCGTAACTCCGCTGGCTGCAGTTTCTCGGCAGCAGAACCTGGTTGGGATCCATCGCTGCGAGGTCCATAGAGCAGCCAGGGCGTGGGAGCACCTCGCACCTCGCACCTCGCAGGGGCTCACTGTGTTCCCGAGTCTTGTGAGCTGTGGACAGATGCGCAGTGTGCGAGGCCAGGGCAGGGCGGGGCACCAGGAGGGGGAGTGCCAGGCTGAGCTGCTCGAGGCTGAGCTCCGGGCACCTCGGTGCTCCCTGCTCTGCCCAGTTCTGCTGTCAGTTTTGTGGGCTGAGGGGCGACAGATCCCCAGCTGCAGTTCAGGGTGGCCTCTGCTGCCTCCTGGCGTGAGGAACATCAGGGGCTGTGTGGGAGGAAGTGGGGACTGTGGGGCTCGAGGTTCCGCACTGAGATAGCTGATCTGTAACCGCGTGTTACCCCACAGCTTCGCGCCCTGACATGCTGCTAAGCCCTGAGCCAAGCGTGATCCTGGGAGCTGAGGGTAAGGGCATCGCGTGCCTTCCTGCCCTTGGCCTGTGCAGGCCTTGGGGCTTCAGGAGCTGCCTGAAGGGCAGGCAAGAAACCCCTGGCCAGGGGCCCGGGGAAGCTGCCCATTGGAAGCCTGAGTGCGTCCCGGTTCGTGAGCTGAAGAGGGCGGGAGGATGGCTGTGCCTCATCTCTTCTGACCCGCATGAGATGTGGTTGGCTTATGCTTTGGAAGCGGCATGCTACAGGGGCCTGACCTGGCCGGGGAAGGTGGGAGGGCAGGACCGGAGCTGCCCCACAGCCGTGTCAGCGCACCGTTATCTGTGCTGGGGCTTTGGTTTCTGCATGTCTAGGTGGAGGGATGCAGTTCAAGGTCCCTAAGGTTGCCCCGAGCTCTGCAAGTCCTGTGCCCCTCCCCACAGCGCCCCTCCCCGCAGCACCCCTCCCCGCAGCGCCCCTCCGGTGCTCAGATCTAGGTTGAGCAACAAGGAGTGGACTTGGCTAGTTTTATGTGCAGTTACTGAGTTCTGACTGCATCGCACACTCTGTAGGGAAGTTTGAACTTTTATCTTCACGTCAGTCCTCGCTGGCTGTTAGTTTATCTCTCTTTCTCTGATACGTATCTACTTTTATGAAATACATATCTGTACATCTGTATCTCTAGGAAATATATAGACAAGATGACAGACATATATATTGGACCTGCTGGTGCATGCCTGTAATCCCAGCACCCTAGAGTACTGAGGTGGGGAGACTGCAACTTTGAGCTGGATGTGTGGGACATTGAACAACTGTGTGGACGCTGTCTCCAACGCGGGCGGGGGGCTGGGAATACAGCTCAGTGAGAAGGCCTTGGGGTCAACCTCTAGCACTAAAAAGATGTATATACAATGTCATTTCTAGATACATATCAGAAATGCTGGGCTGGAGACACGGCTCAGCAGCACAGTGCCTGCCTGGCAAGCTCACAGTCCTGAGTTCAAGTCCTGCCACCCGCCCCCGAAAGAAATGCGTGTGTAAAGTTTGAACAGAGGCTGGTGGCATAGGCGTGCTTCTCAGGGTTTTCCTGTTGTGAAACCTGGGGGAAGTTCGGCAGTGCCAGCCCGGCTGCTGCCAAGCATAGGGACAGGCCGGCTTGCCCACTGACACCTCCTCCCTATGCTGTGCCCAGCATGTGCCCGGTGCCCTGCAGTGCTACAGGAGATGTTACTCCTGGCCACAGCCTGCTTGAAGTGAAGCTGGAAAGCTGACATGGTGATCACATGGCTGTCAGATAATAGTGAACGGCTGAAGTGGGCCCTGAGGGAGGACAGGAGGGGAGTGGGGCCAGGGACTCGGGGGCTGGTGCCAGCAGGGCCCACCCCAGGAAGAAATGTGCTGGGTGCAGATGGCGGGGAGCAGCCCAGGCTGACGGGCCCAGAGGGAGCCCAGAGGAGGCCAAGCAGTGGGCTGCACAGCCAGCATGCAGAGGGGCCTGGCAGGCAGCGGTGATGGGGACTGTGCTGCTGGGAAAGGGGATGCCACAGAGCTGGAGCAGGGTCATGAGGTGCACAGGGCGGGGGGTGGGGGTGGGGGTGGTGGAGCCTGCCACTCAGGTGTGGGCGGGATGCACTGCTCCTCCTCCACCACAGAGGAGGAAGTGGAGAGTCAGGGGCGCTGAAGCATGGGTTTCGGGCTCCATGGCAAGCATGTGATGGGGCCAGTTGTGCAAGCTTGGCCCTTATGGTGCTGGGGACCTGACCTGTGGACTTGGTCTGCGGGGGTGGGGGTGGGGACGGGGAGGCACTGCTACTTTACACCTGCAGCTGGCTGATGGGAAACTGGTGTGTGCGCCATGTGGCGCGAAAGCTGTCAGTGTGTGGTGTCTCTAGCCCTGAGTCAGGAGGTGGCCACCACTCGCAGGCGCCGCCTTGATGGAGGTCTCGCAGGCTGCCGAGCAGGCCTTGGCTGTAGACGTCTGAGGCCTTTCCTTCCCAGGTGCTCCTGCAGGTGGGTGTCTGAGGCCTTTCCTTCCCAGGTGCTCTCCTGCAGGTGGACATCTGAGGCCTTTCCTTCCCAGGTCCTCCTGCAGGTGGACGTCTGAGGCCTTCCTTTCCCAGGTCCTCTCCTGCAGGTGGATGTCTGAGGCCTTTCCTTCCCAGGTCCTCCTGCAGGGGGGCCAGGCTGCCTGGCTGGAGCCGGGTCATGGGGATCCCTGTGTAAGCCACAGAGGTCTGAGAGCCTCCTACTGTGGTGACGGCTGGGCCTGCCTCCGTGCTCCAGGCCACCATTGCTCCCAGCCCTGGCAATGTCCCTTGACCCATGCACGACGGCAGCCTCCTCCCACTTCCTGAGCTTGTGTGAACATGACATCCCCTACATGATGTCATGCTGGCGTGTGTGTGCACACCTGTGTGTACCCAGATCCTCATGGTCTCTGCCTCAGTGTGCGTCTCTAACACCCACCATCAAAGCTGGTGGACTTACCTCTAGAGGAAGACTGGGCTCCTGCTTTCCAGTGAGGAGGCTGCGGAGGCTGCAGGAGGCCTGCGTGTCAGTGACCCTTGACCTAGGCACGCTGTGTTTTTGGTTTTAGACAGTGCGGGGTGGATGCAGCCCACTGGCCTCATGGAAGCTGGTTATTTGTTTAGCTAAAAGGCGTTCTGCCCCTGTCATGTGCCTAGGTCAGCGTGAGCACTCAGAAACAGGTGCAACACATGAGTGACAGCCGAGTGCCACATTTTATTGTGATCAGACTGATTTGCTAAGTGAAGGACTCTGGGACTCAGTGCACCTGCCCCCGGCTGAGAAGGGCCCCGAGGGGCAGGCAGCAGGCAGCTGTGACTGGGCGGCCTTTGGATGACTTGGCTCCTCCCACTTCAGACATTCACAGTTCTCAGGCCTCTGGCCAGCCCTTGGCTTGTGACTGGTAGTCTCTCCAGAATCCTGTGGGGAAGGAGTCCTGGGCAGGCAGGCAGATAGATGGACAGACAGACATACCCTTGTAAAGAATTGATGCTGCTTGTGATCCCAGCTTTCTGGGAAGCTGAGGCAGGACGACTGCAAGTTGGAGCCTGGTGTAGGCAGTTTAGTAACCTCGTGACAACCTTTCCAAAATTAAAACAAGAGCTGCTGTGGGGCACGCAGGAACAGGGATGGGGTTCTCCTGCCCCTAGCCCTACAGTTCCCTTCTGTGCCCCTGGACATCATGGTGTGCAGGTGGCCTCCCCAGGGGCCTGTTGCTGGTGGAAGGTGATCTCGGTGACTGTGGTTTCACACAGGAGGGTGAATGAGGCCCAGGGAGCTGGGTTCCCAGAGGATGCTGGGCTGGGTGGGGAGGCTTCTGTTTCCTTCTACACGGGTGCTCTGGGACTAGGAGCAGCACCGAGCACTTCCTTTGTAGCAGGCAGTTTCTGAAAACAGGAAGAGCTTTGTTCCCGCTGTGCACTTTGAGCTCCAGAGAGGCTGTGTCCAGAACCCCATGGCATGGAGAGGGGCCCAGGTCCAGCCATGGTGTGGAGCCCACCAGTCCTCACCTTTAGCTGTGTGGTTCTGGCCGAGTTGCTAACCCTCTGGGCCAGTGGTGGGCTCCAGGTGTCGTGCTTGTCTAGCCTGGGAGACGCCCCAGGTTTCATCCCAGCACCGAAAAAACAAACCAGACCCTGGCATTTACCGAATGCCGTGGACCAGGCCCTGTGCAGATGCCTTTTATATTCATTTTTCATTTATGCCTTAAATAGTTTAGTGTAGTAGGTAGCATTATTGTCAGCGTTTAACAGATACAAAAGCTTAGGTCCAGTGAAATGAGTGCCCGGCCTCCCATTCCCCAGAATCTGCTGTTCTGACTCTTAAGTGAAATCGTGTGTAAGAAGTTAGCCCACTCCTGGATCTCTCAGTAGGACCTGCCCTCATCCTCTGCTCCTCTGTCTCCTACAGAAGCAGCTGACGCAGGATGACGACGCTGACGAGGTGGAGATCGCCATTGACAACACAGCCTTCATGGATGAGTTCTTCTCCGAGGTGGGCGGCCTGCCTGAGTTTTGTTCTGCTGTTCATGGAGAAACACGGCTTCCTCTGTTAGAACACGGGAGCCTTGAAGCTCTGCGGAGTGGCAGAGGGCCGTCACAGGGCTCTCTCGGGCGAGCCTACAGGGAGAGCCTTTCAGTTCTTCCTTAACCTTGTTAAGAAAGGCCGCAGAGGGGACATTGCATGTAACGAAGATGTGCTGTTAACAGCTTACGCTGTGCGGCAGCTCCTTAATGAGATCCCTTCTTCCTAAAGAATATGAATTAAAGACAGAATTAACCCAGGTACATAGCCGGGGTAGGAACAAGCATTGCATCGCTAGGCTTGGGATTCAGCTAGATCAAAGTTACTATTTGCAAACATTTTTATACTGCCCTCGGCTTAACACTGTTGGTGACAGAGACCAAGAAGCCACCAACTTGGCCTTGTAAAGTCTAACCCGGGCACATCAGCCGTGTCTGCACATTTGACCCCTCTTTGGTCTTCGGGGTGCACATCGGGGTGGTCCATAGATTGGTGGAGTTGTGGGGCGGAGTGGACCAGTGCCAGCAATTCTGGCCTGGGCTTGGAGCTCAGCCTGCTTCTGACCAGCTCATGGTTTCTGTTAATGTTCCTCCTTTGTAAACTGGGATCGATAACCTAATAATTTCCTATAGGCTTAGTGCAAGAATCGAGACACTGCTCCTCAAACAGCGCGTAACAGCAACAAAAAACAAGGCCAGAGTGTACGATGGTGAGGTTTTTGCCACTGTACCATGGTTTCTTGAGTCCTTTAGTTCCTTGGGGGCAGGGTTTAGAAACCCCGAATGCTGCATTCTTCTTGCAGAGAGGATTTGGCCCTTCCCGTCACCCTCCGGTGCCGTGTCTCCTCTCAGTGGAGCGCACGGGAGCTTGCCAGCCCATGCCCGTCACCCGTGCTTGCGCTGACCGGGCCTGCAGGTGGGGCTGTCCCTCGCTCCGGGTGTTACCGTGAGCGAGGCAGAGCCTGGCTCTGTGAGCCCAGCATCGATCCACTGTGGGCTGTGGAAGGATGTGTCCTTCTGGCCAGTGGTGGGTAGACTCGAGACATTTGACGACATTGTCTTGTTCCTGCGGTTGTACCTGGTGAGCTGGACGCATTAGGAGCATCTGCGTGAAGATGAAAGGAACCTTCTCCAAAGGAGACTTCTTCTCCTGACCCAGAGGGAGGGTCCCTGAGAGGCAGATGCTTTGTGAGGTGGGGAGGTGGTGGGCTTCGTGGCCGATCCCCCCTGCTAGCATTTCAGGCAGTGTGACCTTGGCCGCATTACATGTGCTGTGTGCACTTTGGTTCCCTCCTCTGGAAGTTGGGCATGTTAGCCCTCGTCTTTCTTCTTGTAAGAATCGCAGGAGCTCACACCCTGGCAAGAATGATCTGGCCAGAAGAGCGCTGGGGAGGTGGCGCATGTTTGCCGAGAGTTATCAAGCTCTTCGGGCCGCTTTGCTGTCATGCTGCTTTTTCTTTGTCTCTTCTTGACCATTTCCTTAGTTGGCAGAGAGAGGAAGATTTTTTTTGAGGAAACTGATCTGCCTTTGAAGGGGTTTATTGTTTTGTGTTCATTCATCTGTCGTCAGTGTCTTAATGCTTACCCTCTTCCAGGCTGGGTTGGAGGTGCTGGGATACAACATTGTGTGCAGCAGGGTCCTTGCCCTGTGTCTTCTGATCTAGTGGGGGGGGGGATTTTAGAAGTTGTCCCCTTGATGGAAATGTTAAGAAGACACCATGGGAGCACAGACAAGCACAAAGTTCCACCTAGGGCAGAGGGGCAGAGGGCAAAGGGGCAGAGGGCAGCGGGCGGAGGGGTGGAGGGGTGGAGGGGCAGAGGGCAGATGAGCCACTTTGCTCTCAGACTTGTGTATCTGGAGCCCCCAGAGCTCGTACACACACAGACCAAGGTCAGAGCCCCCGAGGCAGCTCAGTCGCGGGTGTCTCAGAAGTCCTTCCAGATGACTTTGTGACAGTGATGCACCACTGCAGAGTGGTGCAGAGATGTTGAGGGTCTGCAGCAAGGAAGTGCTGGGGTGAGGGTGTGTTTTTGAAAAATCTGGCTATGGCAGTTTGTAGAGGGGAGGAAAGCTGGCAGGTTGGCGAAGGTGCATCCTTTAGGGACGCTGTGGACCTCACTGCTGGCTGGGAGTGGGGCATGGGGAGGGGAGTTAAGGCTTGGGCCAGCATCTCTGAGGTCCTCTGAGCTTTTCCCAGAGGACTGAGAGGGTGAGGCTGCTCGGCCTGTCTGCTGCTGGGCAGTGAACTACCTAGCCCCGCGAAGCAGCCCTTTTGTTGTGCGGTAGCCCTCTTGGCTAGGAATCTGGGCAGCGCTGCGGGCTGGCCTATCTCCCCTCTACAATTTCTGGAACCAGGAAAACACCGACATCTGGCCCAGGGATGGCGGTGACACGAAGGAATACCTGGGCAGAGACTGTCTGGTGAAGCGGCTGCCTTGACTGTTCAGTGCCCGGGCTTCTCAGCAGGCCTCAGCCAGGGTCCACGGGTCCCTCGGGGCGGGAATCTGCTGTGTGCGGTGGCCCTTTTCCTGCACTATCTGAGACACATGACAAGTACACTCGTTTGGGGTGGGCACATGTACAGCGTGCCCACCGCTGCTGCCGCCCTTTCCTCCCCGCCTCATCCCCTCCCATTCCCAGTGTGCCTTCCTGTCTCCTGCTGTCTCTCCTTTACTTCTGTGTTTCCACTGGGCTTCTTGTCCGGGAGGAGCCCGTGATAGTGAACCTCCTGTGTGGGACTCTTGCATTTGGCATGCGGTCTCCAAGTAATCGATTTCCCTACAGCTGGCTCGCAGCCGTCCTTTCTGTGGCTGAGCATGTGTGCCTCACTGTCCCTGCTCACGAGGCTCCAGAGGGCGCCGGGCTGTCTCTGTGGCGCGGCGACTACACCTGTGTGCTGTGAACATGCACGTGTGTGCAGAACTCCTCCTTAGAGGCCTCACGCTGCGGCAACCCATGCATGCCATGTTTGTAGCATCATGATTCTGCTGTGCTGTGTCACTGAAGTAGTCAGAGCTGCTGATTCCAGACAGGACAAGGCTCCCACCTCTTAGTGAGATTAAAAAAACAACAACAAAACTTACACCCTTTATGAGCTGAGCCGCCCCCCCCCCCCCGAGTTAGACTTCCATTTGGCGCTCTCTTGCACCAGCATGGCCAGGAGCAGCTCAAAAAGCCCCTGGATATTTTTATGGGGGGTACCTTCATCCTCTCAGCTGATGTTCCTGCTTTTCCAGGCCTGAGTGACTTGGTCATGCCGGCCCCCAGCTGGAAGGGACGCCAGGGAAGTGACTGCTTGTCAGAGGGACAAGAGTGCCAGGGTGGTTGTGGCAGTAGTCGCGATTCGTCCTGCAGGCCGGCAGGATCGCCTCCTGAGGGCGGCGTGCACGACGCTGTTCAGTTGGTCCCAGTGCTCGTTGGGGAGGGCAGCTCCGTAGTGTGATCCTCAGGTTGGGGAAATTCTTGTTTTTCTTTCAGAAATCTAAAATGCACATTCCCCTTATAAAGTCCAAGGAAGCCCTCAATTTCATCTTTCACAGGCCTCCTGACTCAGACCTTCTCTTAAGAAGATGGGTAGGCGGGTGGGTGCCCCTTGCACAACGCTCTGCAAATACGAAGTCACAGTTTCGTTGTTAGGCTCTAGCTTCATGTGGGCCGCGGTTACAGATACTAGAGGGTGGACAGCTTCTAAGGCATAGATGCGTATTTTCCACAATGCTGGGGCCTGGGCTCCAGGCAGACTGCTCACATCACATTGTGACCTCACATGACAGCAAGGGAGCAAAGCTAGCTGCCCGGCTTCTTCTTATAAGGCCTTAATCCCACTGAGGAGCGCTCCACCCACTGACCTAATCACTCACCACAGGCCCCGGCTGTAAAGACCCTCAGGTGGGAATTGAGCCTGGAACCTACCAGTTTGCCTGTGGGGAGACACAGACTTGAGTCCCCACAATAATTAAGGAAACCTGAGGTAATTTTGTGGCACTGAGGGAACCTGCTTTTCTCTTGAAGTTGCTGGGTTTCTTCGTGTTTGGCCAGCGCCTACTGATGGCACCCTGTGGATATCAAGTAGTGGATATCAAGTAGTCTAGGACCAGAAAGCCTTAGTCCTGGCCCTTGAAGTGTGGTGTGGGGTGGGTATTGAGCAGAACTTGGCTAGGGAACCGTGACGTGGCTGACCGCGGAGCACAGGAGTTTGTTAGATACCCTTGACTTTTGCTAGAAGAACTAAAACCCCTAAAGTGGTTGTAACTTGGAAATTCCAGTGTGAGGTCACATCAGCAGGTTAAATAGGGTGAATGCGTCTTAAGTCTGGAAGCAGGGTATGTGGGTGACAGGTGTGCTGGGTGAGCTGGTAGGTATCACATTCCGGAATCTTTCAAGGAGGCAGGCGGGCGCCTTGGCCAGTCGTCTGCTCTGCGGTCCCTCTTGTCCATCATGCCCTCTGCTGTGAGTTTTCAGCTGGCCCATGGAGCACATGGCCAAGGGCAGTGCTCTGGGGAGATGACACACGGTACCCACCCCAAGTTGGCGGTGAAGCCAAATCCAGATCTGGACTGCCCAGCTCTAGGCCAGCAAGAGTGTGTGCTTGCTGTTCAAGTCACCCAACCTCGGCCTTCCACTCGGGCCCCATCCCACCTGAAGATAGCCTGTGCTCTGGCCTGGGGACCACACCCTCCCCTTTGTCCCTCCACCTGCTGCTGCCTTCAGAATGCCTCATCACCCTATGCTGTGCTCCGCCCCACCATCCGTGTGTAAGGAATTCACTCTATTGTATTGCTTTGGTCAAAATGACTAGATAGGCCCCTTTTCCTGGCTAAATTTTAAGCAATCCAAAGCCCTGACACAGTGAACTGATCAGAAATTATTGTCCAGGAATCCTTGTTTTGCTGGTCTGTGTCGCTCTGGGATCACTGGGCTCTGTTCATTCATGAAACGAAAGCTGAGCAGAGTCCCAGTCACTATAGAGCCCCTCGGGGTTGGTGTCTGCTGCACAGTCGCCTGAGGCAGCGTCTCCTTTCTATTCAGTGTGCTTTCTAAAATGACAGCACCAGCTAGGCAGAGACCTGACTGAGAACCCCCCCCCCCCCCCCGAGAACTGCCAGTTTGGGGAAGTAAAGGTGTATGGACTGTGACAGAAATCATTTACTTGAGTGCACAACTCCACTTTCTTGTCTTGGAAGGGCAGTATGTAACTTGTTTCCAGGACAAAAATGGTAGAATTAATGCCCCCCTGGAGGTGCAAGGTGCATGGGATTTGGGAGAGGCGGAGACACATTCCTTAGGTGCAGGGGCACAGGCTTGTCCCTCAGCGACTGCCAGTTCCCTAAGGTAATACTTTCTTTGCTTCGCATTGTCTAATTAGCTCCCTCTGGCTAATTAAATCCAGAGGGAGGAGGCCAGTAGCTTCAGTCACTGCTTCCTTCTAGGAGATGATAGCGGACTGAGTAATGTGGTCATAGAAAGGGCAACACCCAGGAGTGGCTGAGTGCACAGTGGTTGACTTGCTGTCTTTCTGTGGCTACTGATGACGTCAGTACTGCTGGAAGGATTAATGGGACATGGTTTTAAAGGGACAGCATAGTGGCTGCATATAATACGTAGCAGGTGCTAGCTTTCATGCTTGTGATTGTCATCATCCATGATTATTGAGCATGTGCATCGGGTTAAGCATTTGATTTGAGCTTGTTCAATGTCAAAAAACTGCTAAGAGTTCGAGCCAGACCTGGAATCTGATCTGTCTGATTCCAACTTACTAAGTCCTGTTATGTGGATTCTTGTGTTATTGGTGATCATCGGTGAATATGTTTAGAAAAGAAACGTGTAATAAGAATGCCTTGGGATGTTACTAGCTGCAAATGTAGCAGGGAGACCAGGAAAAGGAACAGTTTTGGATTGATTCCCTTGCTCAGCGAGGTTTCTCGAGCCCTCACTTGTGGGGCCTGGAGTCCACGGGACATGCAGTCAGAGGGTAGAAGGAAGGCACGGGAGCCCCGAGCAGCGCAACTGCCACAGGCCCACGGAGCTGGATGGACACACCGCTCTGACCCGTGCATGGGAACTTGGGAGGGAGGAGGGCTCCTCCTGCGGGGTCGTTGTGTGCTTGCCAGGCCCAGAAGGTGGGGTTTGTGTCTCACAGATGCCTCCGATGTACTTCTTCGAAGCTATAGGATGGGTTGGAGTAAGTTCCTCTGCCTCTTTGGTCTCAGTTCTTTTCCGTACAAAGGAGAGAATGACCGTGACCTCACAAGTACTGTGAAGGGTTAAGCGTCACGTCTCATACGCATTCAATCAGCTTGAGTCCAGAGGTATCTCGTTGTCCGCGTCATGGCAGCGCGCGTAACCCCCACGGCCACCCATGAACAGCTCTTCAGCCTCCAGCCCGGGCTCTGAAGTGCTATAAGCAGCCCCCAACCCCTTCCAGCTATCAGGCAAACACCCAGGGGGAAATGACATACGGCTGCCACCATGGAGACTAAAGTCAGCTTTGAGGAAGATCAGTGGTTTCCAGGAAAACCAGTAACCCCAGTTCTGAAAGAGAGAGCTCTATGGCTTGCTCTTTGGTTTTTTTGTTTGTTTGTTTTGGTTTTGTATTTAGTACAGGGTCTACAGGATCTTACTACATAGATCGGACTCGTAGTGATTCTTTTGTTTTTCAGCCTCCCAAGTGCTGGGATTACAGGCGTGTGCTTTAGTCACCTGAGCTGTCTGGCCGGCCCTATGACTTGCTCATTGTCCATCCTGAAATCCTGAAGGGGTCTGTGATTATTTGGTAAATTGACTTATGGAGTCAGAGACCCTGAAGTGCCTTCAGGAAATGAGGGTGCTGGGACGACAGCCAGAACACTTCAGCAGGGTGGGGTGGCGCAGTGCTCCCAGCCAGGACACCCAGCCCCAGCTTTCCTGTCGGCAGGCCTGCTGAGCATGCACTGTGCGTGGGTTGACCCCAAACTCGAGACCCTGCCATGCATCCTTGCGATATTCCATGTCCTTTCGTCCTGCCACTGACCAAAGTGTGAGCCAGGGCCCTTCAGTTCATCAAGTAATTTTCCAGAAGGGATTTCCTAAGACAACCGGTGTGAAACAGCGAAGGCCTCATGGCTCATTTAAACTGCTGCATTCATTCTAAATTGGTGGATACATTTCAGTCTAGAAAGCCCTTTTCTCTCACTGCCATGAAACTGTGCAGTTACTTTGGTGTGATGGGTGTGGCATTCTGTGAGCTGTCAGGGAGGCGGGGATTTCTGGAAGTGGTTACACCACTCGGTCACAGGTATTCCTAGACCACTGTGGGCCCTTTGTAATTGAGAAGGCTTGGGATTCTGCGAAGAAGAATGGAACAGTATGGAAAAGAAGAACAAAGTCTTGGCTCTAATGGAAGGGTTACCTAGCTTGGCATCTGGGCTGGCCGCATGTGACCCTGTTTTTCCTCCGCCTGTCCTCCCACTGAACTAACAATCCCGCCGTGGCCTTGCCATCTGCTAAGCGGCCTCACAAATATCTGGGTCGCTGTTGCTACATGCAGTTACACTTTGACGCTGTTATTACAGAGAAGTCTTATTTCACATCACTCAGTGATGACTGTACTGCCCAGCCATGGCACATCTAAGCTGACCTACTATAGAAGGTAGCCGGCTCAAGTTTCATTTCTTCTACTTTCTATCCTATTTATTTTATTTATTTTTTTGATGGTACCAGGGATTGATTCAGGACCTTGATTTCTGTCCAACTTAAAGAGGTGAAAAGTTTAAAGAGGTGAGCCGTGCTTTGGAAGAGAGGGACAGGATGTCAGTTTGGGAGCTGCACGTGTGCTGAGCTATATCCTCGCAGCATCCCAGATACCGAGACTCTGCTGCTGACAGGAGGCTTGCAGGGTTTCTGCTAAGAGCGGTGGCACTGTGTGCGCTCACTCTGGGATAAGGCAGGTAGGCGCCATGGGTGCTGAGGGCTCCGCCCTCTGTGCTGCCCTGCAGCACGGCGTGGTGCTGGGGAAGGAGGCCACTCTCACTCGCTACGTGGCACCAGGGCCTTAGGATGGTGCCCATCTGGGAAGAAAATGCCGGGAGCACTTCTTGACACCTCCGCCCTGTGCATGGCCCAGTGGCTCTCACTTCTGCGAATCTCCTGGACATGAGTCCTGAGCCGGCGTCACACAGAATCTTTCCTTCTGCCTTCATCTCCTTTACTGTTTTTTTCCTCTTCCTCTCAGTCTGGCTTTCAAGGTCTGATCTCTTCCCTCCCCCACTTCTGCTGCTTCTCTCAGCCTCTGCTGTCTTTGGGGCTGAAGCGTCCGCCCGGGAGGCTTTGCTGGCTTCTCCTGATGATTCTTGAGGACTTTCCCGGCTTTCTTCTGTGGCCGACTCGTGTGATGCAGGCTGGGTGAACGGTCACTGACTGCTGGTGACACTGGCCTGGCTCTATAGAGGGCGCTCACTGGGCAGCCGAGGACTTTTGAGCCCTCACCTTCCACAGAGCCAGAGGTGGCTGGCTTTCACCAGGATGCTCTGCTAAGCAGTGGACGTATCTTCCTCTTTGATGATAAGGGTTATTGACTTTCTGATTATAGATTGAAGAAACTCGGCTCAACATTGACAAGATCTCAGAGCATGTGGAGGAGGCGAAGAAACTCTACAGTATCATCCTCTCTGCACCCATCCCGGAGCCGAGTGAGTGTCTACGCAGTGGACTTGCCCAGTGACGGCCCTTTGCAGTGGGGCACAGTCTTGTCTTCCTTGCAGTGTGTGTGGCAGGGGAGCGTACATGTCAGCGTGCTGATGTCCACGTTGTATCGCCTCCTCCTCCCTGCTGCCCTCAGCCCTCCTGCTCATGGTCCACTCTGTCCTCATGGACAGATAGATGGCCCTCTCCTCGTCCTCCCAGGGACACCAGCTTGTAGGTGTCCTCTGCTGCCTGGTGAGCCCATAGTCCTTCTGTGAGATGTGGTCTGACTGTTTCTGCCTTGGCAAGCTTTCCTGGGTCCGCCCAGGCTGTGCATGGGCCCTCTGTCCCTGCCCTGTGCACACCTTGACCACAGTGTGAACTTTGCTCCCCACTGTGTGATTCGCTGCTGCCTTATCCCTCCCTCAACCCCACTGGACTCAGAAGATCTGGATCCAAAGTCCATGTCTTCTTCTTAGTCCTTCATTTCTAGCTCAGTTCTGAGCCTGTAGTAGATGTTGAAGGACTTTTTCAGTAGATTGTAGCAAATACTTACCTTGGGCCAAATCCTTCAGGACAGGTCTGGGGAGATTGGAGGTATATCACAAATACTTGCTTCAGTGCTGGTGAGATAGCTCAGCAAACTATGTGTCTGCTTAGGCAAGTGCAGGGACTGGGGTTTGATCCCCAGCACCATATGCTGTGCCAGCCCTGCCCCTGGGTGCGCTGAGCCGGCCACTGAGACTGGGCATGGTGGTACACGCCTAATCCCAGTGCTGGGGAGGTTGAAAACAGGATGATCACTTCAAGTTTGCGCTGTGTGGTGAGACCCTGTACCAAATACATACAACAAAATGAAACAAAAAACCCAAATACTTGCTTCAATTCAAGGCTCAAAGGCCTTGGGGTCATAGATGATCACATAGCACCTTCTCCTGCTTTCCAAGATGAAGCTTGTATGGTAAGTTTCCTTTAAAAGCAAGGCTCTCATAACAGTTAGTGTCCTGGAAATGTACTTAGGAAGCCTACTCGGAAAGGCAGACTTCAGGGCTCCAGCTCTGGCTCCTTACTCTATAGGTCTGGGGTTGGGTGCCTGGAACATGCCTTTTAGAAGCAGGCCACGTGGGGCAGGCTGTGGGGAGTGCATGGAGCAGCACTGCCAAGGCCGCCTAGGACAGCTCCTCTGCTCTGCTCTGCTGCGGGCTGAGGTGGTTTGCTAAGCAGTCTGTCTTGTCTGATTTTATCTGCTTTGTTTACCCAGAAACCAAGGATGACCTGGAGCAGCTCACCTCGGAGATCAAGAAAAGGGCCAACAACGTCCGCAACAAACTAAAGAGTAAGGGGAGAGCAGTCTCTGCACTCCGCAGGCCCGCCCCCTCCGCACAGACCGCAGCAAGCGTTCTTCTTCCAGCTGAGCTTTGGGCACTGTTCCTGGAATGGCTCTGTTGTAGAAAAGTCCTGACTGTAGTTGGAAAAGTCTAGGACTGCTCAGGAGCCGGGAGTTAACGTGTGCTTTCAGCTGCTGGCTGGTCCTTCCGCACAGTCTCAGCTTTCCCCTGCTGGCCCTGTTTTCCGGGCAGCCGGTCTTGTCTGAGTGGTGCTGCTGAGATGCGCGCTGGCTGGGTGCATGGCTCCATCTCCCAACCTTGGTGGCTGAAGTGTTTCTTGGTGGGAACCTTCCCGTCCACCCTCTTCCCTATTGGAGAACATAGTGCGGTGCGGCTGTGGTTAGAGATTCAGTCCTCTCAGGGACTCCAAAGGTTGCTTAGTCTTGGGGCTGGAACTTGGCGCCTTCACCCTGAACTACCTCAAATCCTCTTATACACGTTTTTTAAATTTTGGGATAAGGTCTGAGTTGCTCATACTGGGTTCAGCACACAGCTTTCCTGCCTCAAGAGTGCTGGGGTGACCGGCCTGCTCCACAACTCTCAGTCAGTCTGTGTTCTTGCTGCCCTTTGTGCTATTGGTCAGAGGGGAAAGTGTTTTTGCCGAGTCTGGTTTATCCTTCATCCTGAGCCCCAGTTAGTGTAGCTCCCGTAAGGGTTGGAGAGGGTGTGTCACTGGCAGCGCCCCGTACTGATGCAGCGTGGTGCCTCCCGTGTACCGCGCATGGCCCTTGCGTGTGTTCTGTTCTTCACATTGATACCTGCGGAAGGACAGGTCGAGGAGCCCTAATCTGAAAACCTAAACTCCAAATGCTCTGAAATTTGCAGCGTTTTGAACAGCAGTGTGATGCCAGAAGTAGAAAATTACCCACCTTGACCTCATGTGAGAGATTTCAGTTAAAAAATAGGAGCCATAAAAATATGGCATAAATGTACTTCAGGTTCTGTTTGTAACATCAATAGAAAGCATAAGTGAATTTTGTGCCCTGTCCCGAGATGTTTCATCATGCCCACGCAAATATTCCCAAAGCAGATAAATCCCTAGATTTGAAACACTCTGGTCTCACGCCTTCAGGTGAGGTCCCTCAGCTTGCATTGTTACTTGTTCCAGTTTATAAACAGGAGACAAGAAAGGCCGAGAGGTTCTGTGGCTCTCAAGTCACTGGCCTAGTGGGTGGCAGGCAAGGATTTGGGCCTAAGTCTCTTGGTGACCAACACCTACCCTTCACCTGTGTGGTGAGACTTGGGAACAAACAGTGAAGGCGGGTATGAGCAAGACTGTGCCTGCCTCCTGGGCCTGCGTATGTGAGTGAGCGAGGAGGCCCGCGGGACAGTGCTTCTCGGGAGGACGAGCAGACATGCTGCCACAGTCGCCTTCCTCTCCCTGCAGGCATGGAGAGGCACATCGAGGAAGATGAGGTGCGGTCGTCTGCGGACCTTCGGATTCGGAAATCCCAGGTATATTTATCCTTGGCCTGGCAGTCATCTGCAGTCCTTTAATATTTTTTTTTCAGCTTTAGAATCCTCCCTCCTTCTCTCCCCCTTCCCTTTCCCTCCCTCCCCC